TGCATTGTGGGTAATATTCTTTGACGTTTGCCTTGGTGCAATTTATTCGCAGCCTGAAGTCAACGATGCTCGCAATGAAAATGAATCTGTATTTGTCAATGTTCTCTTTGTGTTCCTGAACAGCTCGGTACTTCTTCTAACCTTAGGTAAGTTCTGTCAGATAACAATTTGCAGATAATGTTGCGTTGTTATTTGCGGCAGCAAACGTGAACAATGTACATCCTACTGTTTCTATTTATCGAACAACTGCACGTGCACTGTTCTGTGGATAGGGGAAAGAGGCAAGAAGTCAGAGAAATTCTGGCGCTCTTAAGCCGTCCTTTCTTTTTCTTTATTTTCTCTGTCTTGTCAAGACATTTATTACTATCCTAGGGGACGGTCGTTGTTTATCGCCTTGGGGGGAGCGGGGGGGGGCGAGGGGTCGGAGGAATTTCGGCTAAAGATAGTAACATCTACCTGATCCCCCTTTAAATGTTATTTTATTGAAGTAATCCCCCCTCATAACTATTGAGAAATTTCGTGATCCCTTCCACGTCTTTGCACACATATCCACCTTTAGACGTGGTTTAGCGTGGTCTGTACTCTTATCGACAACCATACGCGTCATAACAGTGATCAAAATGTTGTGGACTCAAGAGGTGCAGCCGTGTGAGTCCGCAACAAATTTTGACAACGGTAAATTAGCCAGTTAGATTGCGAGATTAGTAGCAATTGTGGTAAAAAGTAATATTTCTAACTATGATGTACTTACAGTACAATAAAGCTGCCATGGTGCAGTCTCTTGATCGGTGTGTTCTGTTATCTGATCAGGATTGTTAGCAGAAGTTTTCACAGGCGTCCAATAAAGCATGACAGGGGGCGTAATTTAAAGCGAGGCCCGAAGGGCCAAGCCAACCTTGGGCGGTCAGGGGGCATAATCTCTCTGAAAATTTTGAAATTGTAGGTTGCCAAAGATGCGATTTCATGAATTTTGGGGGGCAAAGTGATACGGAAAATGAGTTGTTTAAGATCGTAAACGTAGCAAGTAGTTTCACCTTTTTAAATACTATTTTCTCCTTGAAACGTAACGTCTCAGTCTGTAAGTTTTTATTTGTTGTCACAGTGTAGATGTGTGCAAGGTTTAATAACCAGAACAGGCGGCTACATTCGATTTTACAAACGGTGGAATTCCGCTGTTCTACTGAGAACCCTGCAACTGATGTCAGTTGACACACCAGCAATCTAACTATCCCAAGTGCTTGAAAACTGCAAAGTTACTTTTTAAAGTGCCAAATAGCCGTCCACCAAGCCCATATAGGCATGTGACATTTAACGGTCCCCCCCTTTTGAGCTCTCAGATATGACTGATCCCCCACTTCTGTTATCT